AGCTATAGAGTGAGGACAGAGAGTGCGAAAGAAAGTCTGGTTGCGGTGGTTTACTTGGAAGCATAGTATTTCAAGTTATTGACCTCACTTTATCATTTAGTCTTTTTTTTATCGTTTTCCATTGTTAGAGCTAAAAAGGCAGTCTGGGCTCCATATCTATGTCTATGAAAGAGTTTACTCGAAATATCCGCTTTTAGATTATGTTTTGTTTATGGCCGGCCCATTATACCTTTGATTTTTCGTGATCGATATATTGTGTATGTTGCCATGTGACACACGTTATGAGTTTTTAAAACATAAATTTTCGAGATAATATTGAACTGAACTTTATTGACGCATATATTGCCATGCTTACAACTGTTGGGCATATTTTTTTAGTAAACAAGAAAACACTGATTTTATGGTAATGTGTCGAGGAACCTGGGCCTTGAAACGCTTCGGTTTAATAAGTTCACTTTCATGTAGGATTATTTGTTTTAAACTTTTCTATTGTATCAATTAATATTTTGAATGTGTTTTCACCCTGGATCTGACTTTCTTTTATTTATTTATTTTGCAATATCATGGTCAATAAGTTAATAATTAACTATTGTGACCGGACCGTTAAGCTGTCGGAATAACACTAGCATATATTACTTTTAGGGGCTGGACTATTGTCAAGTGTCGGGCTTTTGGATTCGGTCGGCTGTAAGCAGATGATAAGTCAAATCGTGTGACAGACAGACAAAAAATGTATTGAAAATAGTCTATCATAAAATGCTTGTTAAAAGTTAATTTTTGCATAGAAAATGGTTATATCATATCTTTTACAATGTCTGGAGATAGATGATGCTGTTTACTTTGCAAAAAAATGGGTTGGTACGATTTTCGAACTGGCTGCTGAACAGGCTGCTAACTTCAGCCTGGTGAAACAACAAGGCTTCAAGTTATTTGAAAACTCAACCCCGCCACTATATGCTTTCAGGTTGGGAAGGGGTTATACATTTTTTTTTGTACCTACATTCACAAAATCCCACCAGCCCTTCCCCCTCTCCCCATGCCCGTAAAAATGAACGGCCCCTTGGCTTTTAATATCTTCAAAACGGAGCCAATGGAAAGATGTAGTAAAGTAGGACACGTATTTTCGAATTTTTACTGCGATTTGATTTATGTTTTTTATTTTTATTTCTATTTTATTTATTTATTTATTTTTTATCATTATTGTCTTTAGGTTTTACATAGCCTTGCTGCCCTTAAACCTTCCGAGGTAGCCTTCCACTTATTCCCAGTTCTGTTGCATGCCGTTTTGCTCAAGATCGAAGGATCAGGAGGCAACGACATCCCTGCTGTGAGCACGTTACTAGACCAAGTGACAAGTAAGGCTAGCAAGCTGCACTGGCTTTTTCCAGATGATCTTCCACAATGCGAGGTAGGAAATCCAAAGGAAATAGGGCTCTTTCTCATTCAATGCCTACGTGTGTTTTTTTTAAGACCACGGACTCATTTATACCTCGTTTATAAGTCGGCTATTGGGAATAAGTCAAATCCAACTAGTGTTCTATCATCAATGCTGCATTCTGATTGAATGAACTACTAGGCTATAAGTTACACAGTCATACTAATAGCGAAAAGTACTGGCTTTGAAAACCAAAACATTGAATTTAGCTTTACTTCAAAACTTGTTTGCATCTATATTTGACCGACTAGTTGGATTTGACTATAAAACAATTAGTCTACTTGCGCTCGTGGTACAAATTGCTAAGGACATTTTGATGTGGTTTCCTTTTATCTTTTTAGCATTTTCTTTTCTTTAGTATTTGGTATATTTGTAGTTTTGTTGTTGTTG